GAGAGGGGGAACTGCGCTGGACGTTGCTACGGCTAGGCGCATACAATCTCTGCAACAGTTTCTCGCTTCTAGCCCGTTTGTTTTACGATTGGATTGAACAGCTCCGATGATGAGGTGTACAAAAGGTGTTCGCACACAGTCTGGACTAGAATGACACGGGTCGAATACGCGCGCGCCAAACTGCTGCTCCCGCCTAGAGAGAGTCTGCGGGGGCCTGTCATTCCGACGACGTGGACCCCACCAACTTGTAATGACTACGTCCGGAGCAGACTGTCTTGGCCCCTGTAAGACCTCACCCCTCTCTGCCCCTCCCCGTCCGTGTGCCTCTACTCGCAACGTACCTCCACCCCTCCGCGGACCAAACCGCAACTAGTGCAACCGCAACCTCATCTAACCCCTGGCCTCGCCACACCATCCGGCACCGCCTCAACTACCCTAGTAACACAAAACTGTCGCACGTGTAATTTCACAGACGATTATTATGATTGGTCTATCAAATTTAAACTATCTACCATTCTGTTGTCTTTGTATCGATTCCTGTTCGAACCCACAACAGTGGTTTTTCGCTTCCATTACGATAGTTGTCCGACAAAGATTTTCGTCCTGTTGAGGTAAACTGTCAAATCAATCGCCCGCTAAGCAAAGTAGAGTACACATCACATTTTACTTCTTTGCACAAACCGTATCACATATAATAGTGACACAAAACAGACACCGCCTTAATTGTATTTTTTGGCATAGCTCCTAGGAGACAGCACTGTAAAGCAGAGTGTGACAACGACCGCACAATTTCAATGACACAGAAAGTATTGCAAGATCGTTTGACGATCATATGGCAAAAAAACTCACACACGAAATAGGTCATCGGAACCACAATTGGTTTTCTGTTGCAATCAAACAAAAATATGCGAATTTGAAAACATTTTGTCACAACTGCAGTGAACATAGGCTTGTTTACCCAGGCACAGACTAAGACGGTCTCGTATCGTGTGGGTAGTATTTTATTTTGCAAATGTATTTATCCACACGTCCGTTTCGTGTTGCCCGCGTGGCGCGTTTGATGTGCGCCGTTTGCGGCTCATATTTCACGCACTTGATTGTTTTCCAAGCTGAGCGCGGCGGCAGCGCAACGGCCATGGCACCGGCACCGGCAGTCTCTCAGGAGAAGGGGAGGGGGGAGTAAAGAAGGAGACGAGAAGAGGA